CGCGAACTCCCCTTGCTGGATCTGGCGGATCCGCGCGAGCTGCTCTTTTGTCACCGGTCCGGACTTGCTGGGTCTGGCTAAGCAGGCCCGGGAATCCGATCGGTGAGGTCCCCCATAGTTTCGACACCGGGTGAGGGCCTTGCACTCTGATTCTGAGTGCATATTAGACACGCATTTCCAGCAAGCTGGAGCGCGGGGACAACCACGGGTGGCGTGAAATTCAAGACACCGTTTGCATTGTTCGATTTTGCGACGAGGTCGGAAGAGCTTTGCAGCTCCAGAGTCGTCGAAAAGGCGGAATCCAGGTCGAGGAGCGGATTCTCGGGGAAATAGCGCTTGCCAATTTGAATAGGGCGCCCCTGGTTTGCTAGTCCCATGAGGAAGAACCAGAAAGGGAACCAACTGGGTCACTCGCGTGACTTCGTCGGCAACCATCTTTGCCGTCACGGCGATGGGGCCAGCAAGTGTTCGAATTGTCTCCGGAACGGTGGCAATTTGCATGGCAACCAGATTTGATGCTGGTTCCAGGTGTATTTCTGGATCTCTCCGCAGTGCAGAGGAATCCAAGAGCTCCTTTCGAGAAGCTTCGTTCTTTGCTGTAATAGCAAAGCCGGTCTTTACCCGCTGAACCAACGTGATATTATTAGCAGCGGTTCCCAGCGCCAGAGACACAGCTGACCTAATGCCAGCTGGAGAGAGAAGACGGTGGGGGTGGAAGTATTCGAGGCGCAGAAAAAGTCGTGAATCGACTTTTGTCCTCGAGTTGGTACTCTTTGCTTTGGGGGCGGGCGGTGCTGCCTTTTTTGTCGACTGCCCAGCGCTGCAGGCTAGGCCTCCCCGAGCTACGGTAGCCCAAGTTATCTTCGGGGCCGGAGCCTGGGTTGTCGGAGGGTTAGGAACCCTTATTTCTGGTGCCCTCGGCGGAAGAGGGTTGGCGGGGCGAGCAGGGAGAACTGGTGGTGTGCTCCCTGGGCCAGATTGTACGAATTGGCCGATGGCCGCTCGAAGATAGACTTTGATTCCGTCTACAAATTCTTTATTATCGCCAATCGAAAGAGGCGAAAGTGCTGCTTCAACACTGTTTATCGCAGTCGAGCAGATGGCGAGGCGGGCCGTAATTTGCGTTGTACGTCGCTTTTCGGCCTCCATCACGGTTTGCAGCTCCGGGGGAAACTCCATAGCTGATGTCGATGCTGCGCCTTTTGAGGCTGGCACAGCATTTTTTCCGGCAGACGATTCTGCACGTTCGGTCACCCTTTCTCTGACGACCTCCTTTCCTTTCCTGGAGCTGCTTGCCACGAGGACCAGCTCGACGGGTTTCGCGGTCTGTTGACTGTTCGTTTCTGTCCTGATCGGATCAGAATCAGTCATCTCTTGGTCGGGAAGGGTGGAAGACTTCCCTGGGACAAAGGCCTCACTCGCAAACAAGCTTGATAATTTTTGCGCGAGGCCAGGAGGTTTTGGACACATGTGTGTCCGTTCAAAGCCGACAGAAATGGTCGACTTTGGACGTTTGCTCTTCATCGGAGGCATTTGGGGACGCCTTTCGATGGTCATCAATTCGAGAACTCAAGCATAGGAATAATCATGAGAAGGGAAAAGGGAATTAGGAAATTTTCGAATTTTCGAATTTCTCGAATTGTGCGTTATTTGTTCATTAACGTGCTAGTTGAAGTAACTACCGTCGCACTCCTACTGGAGCTTGAACACGAGCAGGGTCGGGCCGGATCAGGTTAACTACCGTGCAGTACAAATGCCTCGTCCCACCTAAATGACCGGAACCATGCCAAAATGCATCTATGTGTTGAGCCATGACGAATTCGGCAGCCCAGAATTGAAAACAAAACAAAAACTTTCACGGGAAATCCCGCATTACAAAAGAAAAACTTAAAAATCTCCCTTCCATCGTTCCGCCTCAGCTGCTGTTGTAGTATTAGTTAGGGTTGTGAATTCTATATACAAAAGAGAATTTTCCATCTACAAGTTAGCGGCTTTCGCCATCCTGTTCCCACTCCCCCGCATGGCATCACGTGCTGTACAACTACTGTTCACCATGAAGTCCGAGGATGAAAAGCGTTAGATTACAACGACTTGTACTTCCTTGTCTAATTATGTTCGATAATAAAATAGTAAACTTATGTGCATATGTTGATTATGGATGTGATAGATAAGGTTTCATTGACATCTTGTTCGTGCAATTACGTCCTTTTAAATTGAACAAACTGGAAATGCCACGCACCCTACGGGTTGTGGACGGCAGAAGTTCGTAAGCCGATAAGGTGACTCATTTTATGATAGTCAAACTATTCATCTCCAATCATTCCGAAAATTCCCGCCTTTTTTCACTAAATTAGGCCTGTTCCCTATCATATTGGGTCATGTATGGCTATCTTGACGCTAGTGTTAACCATAACACCAGCCCTCTCCATTCATGGATAATTGTGTTACTATGATAGCTAGACCCCCTACAACTGCTCATCCCGGAAATTCTCGAGTTTTAAAAATTCATGCCTAAATCTAAGCCTCACGGGATTTACTTTTATATTTGCTAACAGTGATATCCGCCTAATCTCTATTGATTATTTTCTGTACCTAGAAAATGCTACTCCAGAGGGCTTCTCGATCAAGCCTCAAAAATAGGCCTTATCATTTGTCTCTCCCCATTCTATAACGATATTTGATACGCAGATCCTCATTGTCTTCAGAGCCCGGAATACCTTTGCCCCGGGTAGTAAATTTAATACCACCTCCTAAATAGTTCCCACTAGAAAGTAACACTGTCTATAGTCCTACGTTCCATCATAAACATAGAGATAGAGTTCTTCAATATCTCCCCTCTAGAAAGAACGGAACAAAGTTTACTTGTGAGTGTTTAGCAGCCAGGAAAGAGTGCAAAAACCATCTAAGCATAGAGCTTTGCGAATATTAACACATACCCAGCTTTCTGAAGCGTTCCAAGACGCTGACAAGCCGTAGTCTGTAGATTCATTTAATACTTTACACTATTCGCACGATATGATGGGTCCAAGGTTTTGTTGAAATGCAAGTAAGGCCTTAACAGAGGTGGAGTGCTGTTGAGTAGCCTGGTTAAACTATATTTTTTAAGCATTTAATGTGTATTCGGTCGTATAGCTACTACACATGGTCGGCGATTTTTGACCATGTTGGATGAACCTTTTAGCTGTAAGGACATTCTTATCTTGGACTTTATTTGCAAATCTCAATATGGGGTATATTTGTAAATATAAGAAGTCGGCCCTTTTTCGCGAGTATCCATCATAAGGCAATAGAAAATTTTTGAAAATTTAAGAATTTACTCATTATATTTGCACACCAACGATACGAGAAATGTGTCTATGTTTTGCTGGATTCGAACCAGCGATATCCTGTTTCAGGTGGAATACGTATCCATGCATTCTAGACCCTATTTGGCAGGCCAGCCTGGACAATATACTGCAGCATCATTCAACCAGTGCTGTGTTAATATTACTGCCTTAGTTCCCACAAGCGAAGCCGTGACAGGCAAGAGGCTCTTCAATTCATGAAATTCCATTGTAAAGATCGAAATTTCATGACTCTAAATATTTAATCTACTAGAGTTCCATAAATATTTATGGTATAATGGAAATGGACGTCTACCGCCAATTTGATAACCTAGAAACTATGAAAAAGGCATTTTTATGATCAGAGATACAATACTAGGACTGATGTAATTTATTATTTATGAAAATTTACCTTGGAGCATAATCCTTTTCAATAAATCATCTTTATATTCTACCTCGTTTAGTTAAAGTTCGTTAGTGGTGTGATGTGTTATGGAACAAGGTCCCCACCACTAAGACCATTATAAACAGAGTTTTCACCGACGCTGGTAGCAATACAAGTTGAGTAGCCTTCGTCTAAACCTTTTAGAGAATATTATCATCTGCCGTGTCCAAATTTCAACAGCATCCATCCTTAGCATCATTATGCCTATCTCTTCTGATCTCTCTGACGTTCGTTCCAAGATCTGCCTCAAATGTTTTTTGCCATGATTTTAATCTCCTGTGGGCATTCATATTACTGTTTCCATATGTATGTAGGGTATTCGAGGCCAGAGACTGAGTCGGCTAAAGGTGTGACCATTGAAATAAAGATATAATAGGTCTTGCCTGTTACTTGATAAATATCTGTTTAGAAATCGTCTTGTTGGAGGTCAAATTTTGACTACGCTGGGAATCTTTTATCATTGTCTCAGAGGCTAGCTTCTTTGGTGTTGTAAAATTCGACAGAACTTGATATTAGGGAAAGATCTTAATCCGTAGTACGTAGAGGACGCCGCGAAAAGCTGACATGTACTCTCCCCCTTTAGCTCAGTTAGTTAGAGGGTAAATATCAACCGGTTAATAGCTGCTCTAGTTGCGCACTCAACTGAAGAATTGTTGACAGGCGCTGTGTGGGGGCCGTGGAGAATCCATGGGAGAGTGATTACAATTCTGTAGATACATACTTGCGGCATATATTTTGAAAAGGCCTACAAATTCAAATCTAGACTTAGTCTAAATAGAATAATTTAACACCCTGTGATTTCAGGATGATTAGTGCTTCTTATGAATCTACACTTTCTCAAAAAGGTTAGCCGGCTAGGCGGCTAATCTTAAGCCCCGATCCCTGGCACCATTACCGCCACTCGTCAAAATCGTGATGACGAAACAGCCACGGTAAGCCCCAAAATCCTAGGAGATCCCTAAACCATTTGAACATTGTAACAACCTACCCTCACATGCAGTATTTCAGCTGAGCTCTCCACGACCGGTACTATCTGCCTCCGGACTTTCAGGCGTTAAGCTTCTCTTTGACCGTAAGATACCTCAAGAACAACCTATGCCTCTTAGCGCAATGCCATCTTATCGAGATTATTGAGAACCAGCCTCGAATCTCAGTATCCGGATAGCTCTCATGCTGCCTAGGCATCAGACTGGAAGGTCGAAACCTCCATCCAATCACACTTCCCCTCCAATATGACACCTTCCTCTCATGCCAACACGTCTGATACAAACCTCACCATTTCCAACTCAGACACGATATCTCATCAACAATCGCACCAAGGTAGCCTCTATGATGCTGGTATCAGATCTAGAAACAAGAAACTCGATGCATTTGATCAGGAAAGAATTACTACGAGTACATCGACAAGTAATCGAGCTGTGAGCACTAATTCTACTAGGGGGCTAGGTCATAGTGCTGATCGGGTTCGGTCAACATCTAGTCGAGGAGAGAGATTAAGAGGAGAAAATCGAGCATTTAACCACGAAACAAAAAGAGGTTTATGGGATGGGTCATGGGCAGCCCAAGGATTAAATACCCTGCAGGACATGGCGTTTTCATTTGTTAATGGCAATAGTGAAATAAAAGAAAGAGAAACCTCAAGGAGCTGGGCTTCTCCTCCAAACTTAGAAGGCTTCACAGGAAATGGAAAGGGAAAAGGGAAAACCAAGATGCGCAGTAATTGGGGGCCAGGAAATATATGCGGAGAAAATACCGATGCGGGTCTTAACAAAGGGATCATTGAAAATAGAGACAAAAAACATCACGAGAGACTAAAAGCACGAGTGCTTGAGGGTCAGGATGATTTTGCATATACTGTGGACAGTATGGGAAACTGCAAACGTCGAACCTCTGTCGCAGAGACGCAATCCAGTGGAATAAATGAAGAAGAAAATATTTTGGTTTACATGCATCATGTCCAACCGGAAGATACGCTTCAAGGAATTGTACTTAAATTTCATGCTCAAATGGACGTATTTAAGAAAGCGAACCGCTTATGGACTGGAGATCTGATACAGATCAGAGAGAGAGTATTCCTACCAGTTGAGGCGTGTGCAATCAAAGGAAGACCTTGTTCACCGCCTAATGTGGAAAATTTATCTAACCAAAATCCTCGGTCACAGTCATCATCCCAGGAACATATCTCTTTTGCTAACAACACTGATCTATGGAAAGTTGCAGAACATTCCGAGGATAACAGCAAACCTTGGATACACGTACGCTGGGTACTATTAGATACTTCGACCAAACCTGTTGAGGTCGTACGTATTCCACGAAAAACACTCAATTATTTTCCACCACGTCGGAGAAAAAGTCTTGCTACAGCCTCGACCGTTTCGACTCCCCGTATCTCATCCGAAATTCCTACCTATTCTCAATCCTCTCTTGAAAGCCAAGCAAATTCGCCGTCTCGTTTAATTTCAGGAAATACTCATACCGCTGCACAACCCTCTCTAACTACTTCTTATTTTCCTCAACCCAATTCGTCATCTAGTCGTCGAGAATCAGTATGCGGCGCAGCTAATCGTCTTGGATGGCTTCGGGGGCCCGGTGGTGTTGGAACAATGGATAAAAATGTTCGAAAGCCAGGACCTGCAAATGATGCACTGAATACCTGGACTAGCAAGCAATTTCCTGGTATAGCCATAGACTCTCTTCCTTCAACATCTACGCTGGTTATCGATGCAGGACAAATGGAATTAAACAGCGAGTGTATCGCGAGTACACCTAGCGAAGGGCCCCCAACTTCTCATGTTTCCGGAAACATTGGTGGAAGGCTAGCCTTCCCAAACGTAAACCTGAATAGTGTGGAGAATTGGGTTCGAAAGATTGCAACTAGAGTTCAAGTACCTGGGACGGCAAGAGAAGACGCTATTGAAATGCTGGATGGTGCTGGCAGTGATGATGGGAGGGGCGTCGAAACGTCAAGCGCATGTTACTCATCAGACACGGCTCTACGCGGCCGTAGGTATGTAATTCAGTCATCGATTCGCGACGCTGCAAATAACGCAAAGAGCGAATAAGTGAACATGATTCGTTGGCGCAGCCGTTACCTTGTTTTTTCAAATTGATTTTCAGGCGTCAGCCTTGTATGAGAGCGGTGTTAAGTTGAACATTGGAGTCTGGAGGATCTGGCTTCTAATTAACCGGAATTGTTCTTTTTTAGTTGCGGTATTATTTATTTACTGATGCATAGATGTCATTCCACAAAGTTTTAGAGTATCTTTTAAGTGCATGACTAAAAAACCTCCCCTGAAAACTTGCCGCTTCAGTTGTAAGGGCGCTGGCTCGGCCAAATAAAATTAGAAAATCACTAGAAATTTTTCTCGTAGGCCGACCCTTTCAGTAAGGTAAAATTGAATAGCAGACTATACGGATAGGGAATGTCACAACTTTTGTTGCAGATCAATATACCAAGCCATGTTGAGGTAGAAAGTAGCTTCCCACGGTATACATTAGTCTGTAGCGTTCGGCTCGCCGGACTCCCAGAACGCATCACAAGGCATAGCTGTGTATTCGAATTTCTTCCTGCTGTAAGTACTAGGAGAACCCTGTATCTGAGTGACTTTTCACTTTTTCCCGATTTCATACACCCGCAAATGGACTTTTTTCCGTTAGCAGGGAGAAGAGATGTTGAAGGGCAACCGGCCTTTCTACCATTGTGATTGAACGAAGATTTGAGAAAGAGCACTGATGGTTGGAGGCTATAATAAAGATGAAGGAAGGAATATGCTACCCACTCCATTGATATTTTTTTGCTGTAGACAGCAAATACCTAGATGTTTGGTGTTCACTTGAATTGAAAAAGACAGTTAAAGAAGAAGTTTTTCCCGTGCAATTCCGGCCTGCAAACGTCTCTTCACAGCGACCCTGCTTTCGGCAACTACTCCTCCACACCCTTGATACCCTCCCGATGTTTACACTGCCACTCGCATTCACTCTCAGCTTCAAATCAACTGGAGTCGAGTTTTATCGTAAAACAGCAACATCTTATCGCCCACTAATTTCTCTGAACTTTTTCTCTTTACCTTCCTGGCAAATTTTTCTTAATCTACCCACCAATCCGTCTAGCTGAGGAGCCTAATATCGGTCAAACCCTACTATCCTGGCTTCCATGCCATGGCCCTCACAGTGGGCTGACTATGCGATTACGAGCTCAAGGTTGAGGTAGTGACGCCGCGGCCATTCTCCATTTCCCAAGTTAGTTTTTCAACATGGTGTTGCTACGCTGTGTGAGGTGAAGTTATTGGTGTCCTTGGCCTAGTCTTAGGCATGGATAATACCCAAACTCTTGACCTATTTTCTCAGCACACCTCACGTTTCGAAGATTGGGAATCCCTTTATGTTTTGGACGATAATGATAACTTTCGGATGTTTGAGGCGTAAGTCGTATGTCGGGCCTTGATGGGCGATGCTCACTAAGAAATTTGTATGCCCAGAGCTTCGAATATCGTAAGGTATTTTTTTTACAAAGTATGGTATTCAGCTATGTGGCTCTAATTTATTTTTTGATTTTGTGAAGTATCGGTGTCGGAGTGATTTATCTGGCTGGAGTTAATTGGGAGTCGATGGATATTGCATTGTGTTGTGCTGGCTCGGTTGAGCTGTTATGAGACAGGGGACAGGCTACTATTTTAGGAAATGGTGGAAAATATAGGCTGGTGCACAGACGCTGTCCATGTACCTTACAATCTCTTCACCTACCAATCCGGGTGAGGTGTCTATCCAGATAATATGATACTTCACAACATCCAATAGATGATATTATCAATCATTGGGGTGCGCATCAAGTATCTCCCTCATATATTGCTATGGTTAGAACCAGTACATAATTGATACCCATCGACACCCATCGGACACCAGGATACGCACTCACTATCCATCGTGCCATCAACTCTACGCTAGCGCACCGTCTCCGAGACTTACCATTGCACATGAGCGCGTGCCACTCCACCGAAGGACAGCAGAGTCACATGATTGCCATACACCTCTCAGCTCATGATCACAATGCAACACATTGCGTCGGCGCTATGATCGAGAATCAAGCAGGAGCCGGATACTCAATTCGACGAGGCGCAACCCATGAGATTGCCTGCGGAACCATTCCTCTAGGTGCTTCTGCAGAAGTATACGACGCAGAAATATCTGGAGCAACAGAGGGTCTAGCAGCTGCCCTTCATAATCCCATGGCCTTTTACGCAACCAACGTAAATATCTGCCTAGATAACCAAGAAGCGGCTCTTCGACTCCTCTTGTTAACACCAACTGCAACAAGCTCTTGCCACATTGCAAAATTTCGGCAACTAGCAGCTAGTTGGACGAACAGGACACGGGCATCTTGTACTAGAGCAGGAGCAGTTAGTGTTATATGGTGCCCCGGATATTCTGGAATCCCTGGAAATGAAGCAGCTGATGTTCTAGCGAAGTCGGCTTGTCTAATGACTGCGCCACTCCTACCTCTATCCATAGCACGAGCAAAAAGAGAAATTTCTCTATTGTACAACGCTTCCACCACCGCCTACTGGGTTCAGGAAGGCCCCATTAGATACAAGGAATTCGGAACTGGTCCTAGTATAGGAATAACGCCAGAACTGAAAGGTTTAAACCGACGTGCACTTGGGGCGTTAATTGCGGCTCGTTCCGGGCACGGAGATTTCGCCCAATATTATCGTCGCTTCACACACGAAAATGCCCTAATGACTTGCTCCTGTGGCGAGGAAAAAAGCCCAGATCACTTCTTCTACTGCAGTATAGGAAGAAACTGTGCCCGTCTTTGCGGTGGACCTCGATGACCCCACCCTGGCATCAGATGGGTACTCAGCACACCCGAGGGCGCCCTTGCCTTCGGAAAATGGGTCTAGCTCACGAAGTTCTACGACGAAATCCAAAGAGCTCATTATATATTCCCTTACGATCTGGTATGGGGTTAATGTTAGATGGAAGGATTTATTGTTATTTTCTTGTTCTGCGGGTATAATTTAAAATTACTTGTTAAAAAAAAAAAGTGAAGTTCCTGGCAGAAGGAAATTTGCTACATTTAAATTGGAAAGCGGAATGGCGGATAGCTGTTTTTTTTTTCTTTTGGTCCTAAGCTAACGCTATCTTTTCCACATTGGGTCAAGGACCGGTGGAGCCGGCAAGGATCACTGCGTACAGGCCCAACTTATTCCAACCGCATGAACTTCTACTGAAATTTTAGAAGTTAACAGCAAAACTAAAATCAAAAACATAAATCAAAAACATAAATCAAAAACATAAATCAAAAACATAAATCAAAAACATAAATCAAAAACTGAAATCAAATTTGGAAGAAATACTGTTTGGTCCGGATCCCGCGCTTCTCGCCCGTTCCCTTTCCTGCCACATCTTCCACGTGACTTTTTCTTATCTCCGCTGAGAGCGAAAGATTAGTTCGCAGATAACCTGAATTCAGCAGGTATCCTGCTATATATTTTGAAGCTTTTTGTAGACTTCACCGAGGGTTACTGTACCCTCAGACTTCTTCTTCGGATTCCAGGATTCCGAAACCCGATCCCTCAGCCATCGAGACATCCTTCGTTGAGGCCATCATTGCCTCTTCGGCCCTTTTGGCTGCAGCCCTAAATCGAGCCACTTTCGCGAACTCCCCTTGCTGGATCTGGCGGATCCGCGCGAGCTGCTCTTTTGTCACCGGTCCGGACTTGCTGGGTCTGGCTAAGCAGGCCCGGGAATCCGATCGGTGAGGTCCCCCATAGTTTCGACACCGGGTGAGGGCCTTGCACTCTGATTCTGAGTGCATATTAGACACGCATTTCCAGCAAGCTGGAGCGCGGGGACAACCACGGGTGGCGTGAAATTCAAGACACCGTTTGCATTGTTCGATTTTGCGACGAGGTCGGAAGAGCTTTGCAGCTCCAGAGTCGTCGAAAAGGCGGAATCCAGGTCGAGGAGCGGATTCTCGGGGAAATAGCGCTTGCCAATTTGAATAGGGCGCCCCTGGTTTGCTAGTCCCATGAGGAAGAACCAGAAAGGGAACCAACTGGGTCACTCGCGTGACTTCGTCGGCAACCATCTTTGCCGTCACGGCGATGGGGCCAGCAAGTGTTCGAATTGTCTCCGGAACGGTGGCAATTTGCATGGCAACCAGATTTGATGCTGGTTCCAGGTGTATTTCTGGATCTCTCCGCAGTGCAGAGGAATCCAAGAGCTCCTTTCGAGAAGCTTCGTTCTTTGCTGTAATAGCAAAGCCGGTCTTTACCCGCTGAACCAACGTGATATTATTAGCAGCGGTTCCCAGCGCCAGAGACACAGCTGACCTAATGCCAGCTGGAGAGAGAAGACGGTGGGGGTGGAAGTATTCGAGGCGCAGAAAAAGTCGTGAATCGACTTTTGTCCTCGAGTTGGTACTCTTTGCTTTGGGGGCGGGCGGTGCTGCCTTTTTTGTCGACTGCCCAGCGCTGCAGGCTAGGCCTCCCCGAGCTACGGTAGCCCAAGTTATCTTCGGGGCCGGAGCCTGGGTTGTCGGAGGGTTAGGAACCCTTATTTCTGGTGCCCTCGGCGGAAGAGGGTTGGCGGGGCGAGCAGGGAGAACTGGTGGTGTGCTCCCTGGGCCAGATTGTACGAATTGGCCGATGGCCGCTCGAAGATAGACTTTGATTCCGTCTACAAATTCTTTATTATCGCCAATCGAAAGAGGCGAAAGTGCTGCTTCGACACTGCTGATTGCAGCTCTGGTGGAAATTCTATTGCTGATTTCGATGCTGCGCCTTTAGAGGCTGGCACAGCATTATTTCCTGGAGATTTTCCTCACGTTCGGTTGTCTTTTCTCGAACAACTTCCTTTCCTTTCCTGGAGCTGCTTGCCACTGGGGCCAGCTCGACGGGGGATTTGGTCTTGGGACCATTGTTTTCTGCTCTGATCGGTTCAGAATCAGTCATCTCTTGATCGGGAAGATTTGTGGACTTCCCTGGGACAAAGGCCTCACTCGCAAATAGGCTTGATAATTTTTGCGCGAGGCCAGTAGGTTTTGGACACAATGGTGTCC